TAGGGCGGGCGAGGGCAGCTGCGACCGCCCGACCGCCCGACTACGCCCCGATAGCGCTCCGACCGCCCGCAAAATACACCGACCATGCCCCGATGACACCCCGCGCGGCCGCCCGATAACACGCCGAGAGCACCTCGATAGCACCCCAATAACACCCCGACAACACTCGATAACAATGCCATCGACATGTTATCCAGGTGTTATCGAGTGTTACCGAGGTGCTATCGAGTGTTATCGAGTGGTATCGAGCTCGATAACACTCGATAGCACTTCGATAGCACCTCGATAACATTCCGATAGCATTGCTATCGAGTGTTATCGGGGTGCTATCGGGGTGTTATCGAGGTGATATCGGGGTGTTATCGGGCGGTCGCTCTTTCGTGTGTTTAGCGTCCAAGCTGTCGCTGAGCTGTCGCTGCGCTGCCGCTGCGCTGCCGCAGCAGCGCGTGAGCGCTTACACCGCGCGGCCGTCGCATCAGAGGCCGCTGCTGCGCAGCTGTCCTGTCGCATCAGAGACCCCGTGGCGGGCGTCGCATCAGAGGCCTTCCGCGAAATGCTGCGTGGCTCGGTTAACGACGTCTTTCGAAGCGGCAACGACATTATACTAGGCCCTGCATGTGTTCGCGACCCCCGTCGGCTGTCATCTGGCAGCGCTGACACGCTTCGGCCGCTCGGCCCATGCTTCCACGCGGCTCAAGCAGCATGTGCATCTCCACCTTGGCCGCATTCCTCAGCCCCCGAGAGGGTTGCAGCGCTCCGTCATCCCCGCCGACCTGCAGGCTCGGAACGGAGTTGTTTCTCATTGTCTCGACGGCACTGGCTATCTCACCGACCGCAGAGGTCAGCCGCTGGATCTGATCGTTCATCCCATCATTATCCGTGCTGTTGTCCTTGTCCTTGTAGCCCTTGCCGAAGCCGCTGCCCTTGCCCATGCCCTTGTCCTGGCCCCCGCCCCGAACGCCTTGGGGGCGATCGCTGGCCATGCTTCTTGACTTGCGCCGGCGTGGGGGCCTGGGGATATGCTGCCCCGCGCGCCCTGGGGACCTGCTTCTTGACGGCGGGGGGGTGATTGGCGGCCTTGGGACAGGGTTGGCCTTCTCACGCTGTCTTCTGTATGCCTCTCTGCCATTGTAACTCTCAGACTTCATCTCTGGCTTCGCCTCATCCAGGATCGGGCTCGCCACTTTGTCGGTCATGCCATGGTAAGTGCGCTTCATTGAGTGACGCCTGACGTAGCGCAGCACTTGATCTCGACTCTCGCACGACCAAGCTTTCACCTTGCTCCACGAAGCTGCCTTGCATTCATCAGGCCTCGGGCATGCAACGACTCTCCACCAAGTACGCGCGTCCCCAGGGTCGTCGTCTTCACGGTTCAACCAGGGATAGTCAGCATTCTTCTCGGGGGGAGATCATGGGCCATGGCGCCTGCTGCCGCGGTCGCCGCGGCTGCCGCTCGAGCGGCGCAAGCTTCTGCCCCTGCGGGCGGGTTTCTTGAAGCGTTCAAACGGCTAAAGCGCAAGGCGCTTTGGGGGGGCGCAGCGTAAATCGCTCTGTGCGGCACAAGTTGTTTTGGGTCGGCGGCAATCTATTCGACACACATAAGTATCATGTGGTAAAGTATACGCTGGTAACATACTACATATGCAGCGCCGAGCGCTGTCTGGTCTAAATGGTGGCCGCAGTTTAACTCACAGGCTGTTTCAGCCCCTGCCCCACAAGCGCGCTGCGCTGCCGCAAGATTAAGCCACCCCCAAGCGCACTAACCCCCTAGCGCACTGCGTTGCCGCAAGACTAGGCCACCCTCTCAAGCGCACTGCGCTGTCGAGCAAGGCCATGGGCCACCCCCAAGCGCGCTGCGCTCGCTGCACAGCAAGCTCTGTCACCGCACGCGCTCGCGCTGTTAGTTTCTTTACGTGGCCATTTTGGCACAGGGATCGCAGCGCGCTGCGCTTCGTTACATTATATATATGTATATATATATATATCTTTCATCCTTTCCATATCGCTTGGCGGATGTCCACTGCCGCTGATCAGCGCAGGACTCGACTCGCTGCGAAGGTCGCTGCGCAGGAGCAGGCCATCAAGGAGCTGAAGGCCACGATTAGAAGGCAGGGGTGCGTGATCAGTCGCATCGTGGACATGGCTGGGGGGCATAGGGCCGCGGGGCGGCAGAGGGCAAAGGCGCGCGAGCAAGAACGGCAGCGGGCAGAGGCCAGCGCTCTGCAGCAGGAACGGCAGAGGCAGGAGGTGTGGCGGCAGGGGCACCTGAGGACGAGGGTGGCTGAGCACACGCAATGGGCGGAGATGAGCTACAACCGTTTGGCCGCAGAGGCGCGCGAGAGGGGCGAGGCGCCTTCTTTTCGCAAGCGGGCCTGCGGGGCGACCGATGAACCGATCGTTGCCCCCGACCTCAATCAGGCGATTACCGCGGGCGGTGGCGACCGCCGAGGAGATGGCGACCGTCGAGGATGCGATCTTGATTTATATCTCTGAGTAGGCCGCCGCGGCGGCGCCGATGACGACGCCAAGCCGGCGAGGGCGAGGGCGACGGCGGCGACGCAATCTCGACGAGGACGGTGGCGACAGCGACGACGACGACGCCGAATGCGCCCTGGCCGCGGACGGCGGTCGGTTGCGTCGCGGCGCAGTGCTCGCGGCCCCGTCGCGGCTAAGGGCGCCTCGTTGGAGCGCGCCGCTATGCGCTTGAAAAACACATTGTCTGACGCAGCGCTATGCGCTTTAAATGCACAGCGCGATGCGCTGCAAATGTATGGTCTGGAGCCAGGAGTGCGGGCGCAGCGCTATGCGCTTAAAATGTGCCGTCTGACATAGCGCGATGCGCTTCATATGTGCAGCGCTATGCGCTTCAAATGTATGCTCTGGAATCTGGGGATCGGGCGCAGCGCTATGCGCTTAACATGTATAGTCTGAAATCTGGGGCAGCGCGACAGCGCAGTGCGCTTGAATGATCTTCCTTTTTTTCACAGCGGCAATGCGCTAACGGCCCGATTCGCGGGCAAGAGAAACTCCCCGATTCGCGGGCAAGAGCGATTATACAGTACATCGGGCGGCTGCTCTACTTCTCCCAGCCGGCCTTCCAGCCGCTCGCTGTGGCGCCACGCTCCTCCTCCCAGTTTCTCCACTGCGCGGTCCACTCGGTCTCTCCATCCGACTGCGCAGGGTCCTCGGCGTGGCCAGCGCCGCTCGATGCCGCCGTCGCCGCGTTGCTGCCCAGCTGGGGCTTTTCGAGCTTTTCCAGGGCGGACTCCGGCTTGTCCATGACGGGCTCCAGCTTTTCCAGCTTTTCATTTTTCTTCTGCAAGACCGGGTCCATCTGCAGCTCCAGCTCGCCCAGTTTTACCGTTTTCTGCAAGACCTGGTCCAGCTTCTTATCCAGCTCGCGCACTAGTTCCGTCTGGGCCCCGACCTGGTCCGTCCCATTCACCGAGGCACGAGCCCTGGGGTCATTCAAAGCCTCGTCCACATTATTCAGCACGAGCTCCGTCTTCCCCTCGTTCTGGGTGAAACTGGCCAGTGAGCTCCCCATCGCTTCACCATTATGCTCAACTATAGTGCTCACAGCAATCATGAGGTCCACGTTCTCGATCGGCCCCGCCGCCGCATCTGCCGCGTTCAAATCAAAGGATGCCCCCGATGGGGCGCCTAACTTGGGCCCCCCCCCCGCTGCGGCATCGGCGGGCCATGCATCTCCTGATGGCGACCCTGCGGAAGAGACGGCCGCCCCGAGCCCCCCGCTTCTTTTTGCCGCCGCTGCGGAGGCGTTGGCCGTTGGGGCTGCTGCTGCCGCCGCTCCCGTTGCCGCCGCCCCCGCCTCCGCCGCTCCTGCCGCCGCCGCCGCCGCGCTTGCTGGCGCCTTCTCCTTCGGCGCTGCGCCGCCCCACCCTGCGCCGCCGAGGCCATCATCTTCGGGAGAGGCCGGCCCCCCATACTTGTCGGACCCTGCTACTTTCTCGATGTCGACTTCTAACATTTTTCAGCCCTCTGGATGCTTTCTCGGCGCTGCCATTCTCCCTTTTCCAATTTTGCCTTGGTGGTCAGCAGAATCCAAGTGCTCCTTGGTAGCCGTCTTGCATCTGCTGCTCTTCCTCGTGCACAGCGCGCGCGTCCAGTGTGCCGAAGCAGAACCCGAGCTGGCCACGCACTTGTGCCGCGTTGCGCGTCGCTTCCAGCCATATTTGAGTGCCAATATCTCAGGGCACCTCGCCTCCGATACCTCATAGTACTCCTCGTCCCATGTCTGAGCTCCACTCGGCCCACTAGCGGCAGCGGCCGCCATCGCTGGCTGGTTCTGCTCCGCTGGGCGAATCTTCGCGGCTCCAAATGCTCGAGCCTGGGTTGCCGAATGGGGTGCGGGGAGGGTCATATATGAATCAGCTCAGCCTGGGCCCTTTTCAGGGCGGTGGTTCGGGGGGGAGGAGATCATCATCATCGTCACCATCGTCATCACCATCGTCATCATCATCATCACCATCACCGCCACTCACGCGTTCACTCACTACACAGCCACGTGTGCATTGCGAGGAAGTTTTCGGGCGGGGGCCCCCTCCCTCTGGGACACGCGGGTCATGTTATTAATATCGAACTACTTCCAAGCGCAGTGCGCTGCCCCTACTCGAGGGTAACATTGCATTTCTTCCGTAACCGTCGCGCTTGGCTCAGCCCGTCGACCGCGGTCGGCTCAGCACGCGGCCGCGGCAGCGACCTTCGCTGCAGTGATGGAGGTTATCACAGCCCATTCTGGTCAAGCTGAAACAAGCTTTGCTGAGCTGATATTATCGCTCGACGGCTTACCCACCTCTACCGCAGGGCCCGAAGCAGGGCAAGGCCTCCCACCCCTACCGAGGCCGGTGGGCGCCCCCATGGCGCTCGGACCAGTGCCCGAGAGCACCCAAAGCTTGCATAACAGGAAAGCAGAGGATCCGATGGCGAACGATGCACTGCGCAAAATCGAAACCATGATGTCAACGAGGGGAGAATTCATGACTCGAGTCAGTCAGCTGAAGGAGAAGGAGATGAAGCAGCAGGACTTTGTGCTTACAACCCTGCAGCAGAAGCTGGTCGAGTCACTGGCCAGCCACGTGCCTGGGGCAAAGGCTGCGCATGCATGGCACGAGCCGTTGAAGCAGGACCAGGTCTCGGAGCAGAAGTGGGTCCACGAGGGCCAGGCGCACCACCGCGAACAGCGGGCGCAGGACGACGAGGCGCAGGACTGGAAGTGGGGCGAACGGTGGGACGAGGCGCAGGAAAAGCGGGGCGAGCAGCGGGGCGAGGCGCAGGACGAGAAGTGGGGCGAGCAGCGGGACAAGGCGCAGGGCGAGAAGTGGGCGGGCAGCGGGGCGAGGCGCAGGACGAGAAGTGGAAGCAGCAGCATCATCAGTGGCGCGAGGCGGCGGACCAGCGCCAGCAGGTTGAGAAGCAGAAGTGGCCCGCGGACGAGAAGGGGCAGTGGCTCAGCTGGAAGTGGGATGAGGAGCAGCGGGCGCAGAAACAGAAGTGGCCCGCGGGCGAGTGGAAGCATGCTCAGCAGTGGCTCCGCTCGGGGTGGGGCCAAGAGCAGCGGGCGCAGGAGTTGAAGCGGCCCGCGGACCGCGCTGAGAGCGAGTGGAAGGAGCATGCCGATGAGCACTTGCAGGGGTCCGTGGACAAGGCCCAGCGCTATGCCTGCGACACAGGCGAAAGCACACGGCAAGCCAGGCCGCAAACTTTGAATGTATCCGAGCGGCAGCGCTGGCATCAGGAGCAGGCCAAGGTGCTTGAGGCTGCAGCCAAATTGCATCAATACCAGGCCAGGCAGGCGACTGGGCAGTCCGACGTGTGGAGTGGGTGAGTCAATGGGTTCCTCCAGACCAGTGGGAGCGATTGCAGGACGGACTTCGCAAGGGCGATGTTGACGCATGGACGCGTGCGCAGCAGCTGATGCGTAGGTTATGGGCGACGTTTTCGGAGGAAGGTCATCAGGCTGCACAGATGCCGATGATGCTACCACAATACTGCGGAGAAGATGGCGGCGGAGGAGGCGATGGTGGAGAAGAAGTCCACGAACCACGTCAGAAGAGGCAGAGGCAGCAGCGCGGTGGCAGGTTCAAAGGTTGGCAAAATACCAAGCATGCCGCGGAGAGAAGGATGGTTGACTCAGTTCCTTGCGGAGAACCCCGGCCCGCGGAGGCGCATCTAGATGTGGCGCGACCGTAGCCCTGCCAATGACTTAGCGCGCGCGCTGTATATATACTGTTTAGCGCCTGCGCTTCAATACGCTTGCTGCGCTGCACTGTAAGAGCGCAGAAAATCAACGTGGCCTTCCCAGCGCTTTGCGCTGTAATCCTAACCCCATCCCTCCCGAGCGCACTGCGCTATACTCCTAAGCTCATGGCACCTGACGGTGGCGACGAGGAAAGGGATGCGGAGGGGCGAAGGGGTGGATGTTATTGAGGAGAGGTCAGGCGCGAGGCAGAGCTAGAGCCCGGAGGACAGCGCAACGCGCCCGGGATCAGAGAATCGGATATGAAGGGCCCAGGCTAAGCGCTAGACGCTAAGCGCCAAGCGCTACGGGGAGGTGGGATGAATCATGTCCCCTGCTGGCGAACAGCAGCGCTAACGCTATGCCTGCGCAGCGCAGCGCAGGCCACCAGCGGCCCGATCGCTCCGCCAGCATCGCTGTACTTCCGCATCACTTGCACCCGTCTGAGACCCACTCCCTCGCCGCCGACATCGCCGCGGCCATCCGCTTCTCCCCATCGGAAGCCCGTGTGCAACATCCCGCCGCTCTGTTTCGGATTCTGCACTTGCGCGTTCTCGCGCGAGTGCGTCGAACCGCGCCATGCTGGCCCCCAGACTCGGCTTAGCAGGCGTATGGTGCATGAGCGACTTGGCAGGCACGTGCATGTTCTTCTTACTCTTCACGGACTTCCTCGGAGCTGCGACCGTCTCGTCGTCATCCTCCGACGACAGTTCAGTCTTCGAAGCGCCCCCGGTCGCTGCATCCGCCTTCCTCTTCGCAGTCGCCTTCTCTTCCGCCTGCACTGTCGCCTTCGGCTTCGCCTTCGGCTGCCCATCCATCTTCGCGTCCACCGTCGCCTCCTCCGCTCTAGCCTTAGCCGCCTTCCCCCCCACTTTCGCCTTCGCCTTCTCGAGCTTGGCCTTCAGCTTTTCCTTCGCGCCCCTCTCGTCCATGGGCTCCAGAAGATCAATCGCAGAAGGCGCAGGCGCTGGCGCAGAAGCCGCAGGGGGCGGCGCGGGCTCTTCAGCGGCCGCAAGCGGCGGCGCGGGCGCAGCCGCAGGCGGCGGCGCAAGCGCAGCTGCATCAGCGCTCCCGCCTCCCTCATCAGCGCTAGCGTGGGCTAGGGCGAAGAACCCATGACTGCGAGACCGCATTGTGCTGAATTGCGCGCGCCCGTCGTCGATCTGAAGACGGCGTTGGCCGCGCATGGCGCCTTCGAAGGGTGGCCCGCAGCGTCTGCCTTGAAAGGGCGGCAGTCTCCCCATCATCATTGCATCCAGTAAGCGGTCTTGTCGATCCGATTGCCGCTGGAGCTCCTGCGAGAAGCTGTTCGCCATGTTCTGCAACTGGTGGTCCAGGGTGACGCCAGACAAGTGCAACATTGGCACATCAAGCGCTGTCGCCCCGTTGCCTTTAGAACTGAATGTAGCGGCCGTCGCTTCGATCATCGCAGTATCGATGTTGCTCGAAACTGGCAGCGCCCCGTCGCCGTAGCTCCCCGCCGGCGGCGGCTCGGGCGAAGATCGATGGGGCACTTCTCATCGCGCTGCGATGGGGGCGGCGGCAGCGCCCCGATGATCTCGATGGGGGTCTGCAATTTCCGCACCCGTGCTTCCCAGGCACTCATGAGTGCGCCAAACGTCTGGATCTTCTTCGCCTGGCTGATGTGCGCTCTCATGTCCTCCGTCTGCAGGGGCATGTCGACAGCATGCGCTTCGCATCCTCCGATGGCGCCCTCGCCCCCAAGGCCGCCACGCGGTTGACGAGGGCCTCCCTGACTTCTAGCGGCCGCCCCCGCTGGTTCGACATGGCGCCCCACTCGGCCTCTGCGAAGTAGCCGAAAACCTCCCTGAAATCCTGCGTCGGATTTCGTTTCTTCGTCTCCTTCTCCTTCTCCTTCTTGACGGCGGCCTTCAGCGACCCGGCCACCGCGGCCAAATCGTTTGCAGCGAAGCCCATTTGCGCTGCGAGCGCCAGCAGGTCTGGCGCCTCAGTCGAACTCAGGGTGGCCGTCGCCGAGCGCGCAGACGATCTGAACGCGTTCGCCTGGACCTCAGAAGCCGCGGCGCGCGCGCTCGCTGGGACCTGCTGCAGAAGCAGCTTTGTCGCCCCAAGGCGGGCCCGCAGATCCTCGTTCAGATCCCCCATGGCGCCGCGGCCCTCGGCCTGGCTCTGCGGGCCGCGGGCGCTGCCCAAAACGAGTCGCCAGCCCCGCGCGGGCCGCGCGGCAGCGCGTGCGCGCTAGAGCCAAAATGGCGGCAGTGCGCGCGACAATGCTTTGCGCTAAAGTGGTCAGCGCCATGCGCTTGCGGGGGTGAGGAGGAGGAGGAGGAGGAGGAGGAGGAGGAGGAGGAGGAGGAGGAGGAGGAGGAGGAGGAGGAGGAGGAGGCGGAGGAGGAGGAGGAGGAGGAGGAGGAGGAGGAGGAGGCAGAGGAGGAGAGGAAGGAGGAGAAGAGGACAGCGCTATGGCGCTTATGCGTAGAGGACACGCGTGAGAAACACAACGGGAGCGCAACGCGCTTAATTGAAGTGGAGCGCAACGCGCTTGAAATCCAGAATGGAGCGCAACGCGCTTTTATACTGGAGCGCAAAGCGCTTGATTGAACTGAGTACATGAAAGCGCGAAGCGCATGATTGAATTCAAACTGGAGCGCAATGCGCTTGGTTGGAAAAGGGCGCGAAGCGCATGCAGCGCAACGCGCTTGGGAAGCGCTGGCATCGCAAAGCGCTGGGCGCAACAAATCAACAACAAAGCGCGCTGGGGGGGGGCATACATAACGCAATAACATAGGAAAGCGTGGCTGACCAAAAAAGGTAATTCGGCATTCGCAGCGCGAATACTCGTAACTTGCACAAGTACAGGAATTTGAGTGGTCCAAGATAGGGGGAAGTTCGGGGATAGAGTGGCTTAAGGTATCGGGAAGTTAATTTTCAAAAACAAGCAAAACTATGATCAACTATGTTCCACAATTTCAACCAACTATCCACAACTTCAACATAACTGCCATAACTTGTTGTGCGCTCTCAGCAGGCAACATGACGCTTGATTTCTGCCGCGGCCCTTCTACGATGGCAGCCTCAGGAGGACGCCCGCATTACATGTAAGGTGCGGGATGCCCCCACCACCCGCGCATTTTCACGCGCGGGGGGGAAAGCGTCCCTGCGCAGGTCCCGCATGGGACCCGTGCTAGTCGGGACTCGTCTTCCTCTTCGCTGCATTAGCCCTGTTCGGGGGGGCGGCGGGGTTCCAATGGTTCACGCTCCCTTTGAGACACGCCCCCATCATCCCACTGCCGTCGTTAGCCCCCAGCCTCATCCTTGCCTTGGCCTCCTGTCCCAGCCCTTTGGGATGAGGCGAAGGGGCGAGCATGGGGAACGGCATTGGTAACCTTATCTAGACACCGCGAAGATGGGGGGCATCGGTGCGTTTCGGGCCAGCCATTGTCGTGGGGGAGGTCCGAAGAAGTTGGGGCGTGGGGTGGTGGGTGCCGGGCCGTGGCGGGGGCAGGCTCACTATCGATGGCTCGGCTTGCACTTTCCCCCGCGCGCCTCTGGGGTCGGCGGATTTCCAAACGCTTATTATATTGAAACAGACTGGCCAGAAGCGGCACTGATCAATGATTCTACCGAGCACGAGAACGATTTCGCGCGTGTTCCATTCAGGCAGCAACAGTGATGGTTAGGGTCTCGGACGTTTTCCGGCACAGTGTGAAGCCAATGCATGCAAACCCTTCCCATGGGACTTATTGCAGCGACCTGTCGTCGCCGGTCTAGTGGCCCTTGAGCACCCAGGACCACTTCGGCTAATACGGAGAGGCGCGCAACCGAAACATGATACAAAGTTGCTGAATCTGCATTTTGCTGCTCCGTATTTTACGTTGACTCGAGTTACGCCCGTCTATGGGCCGAGTATTGGCTCGATCGGATTGCCTGCCTGCCTGCGGGGGCCCGGGGAGGCCTGGCACACCCGGCGGCGCGATGCGACCAGCTGCCCGCTGCTGGCGCTGGTCGCCGCAGCGCCGGCCGCCGCTGCTGGCCGCGGGCCCGTGCGGCGGCGGCGGCCGCGCAGAGGCTCCGTCATTGCCCGCGGCGCGGCCGCGGGCGAGGCGTCATCCTCTTCGTCGTCGTCGTTGTCAGTGTCGTCGTCTTCGTCATTCTCAGTGTCGTCGTCGTCGTTGTTAGTGTCGTAGTCAACGTCGTCGACGTCGTCGTCGTCAGTTTCGTTGTCGTCGTCGTCGTTAGCGGCGTCGTCAGCGTCGCTGTCAGTGTCGTCGTCGTGGTCGTCGTCGTCGTCAGTGTAGTCGATGCCGTCGTCGTCGTCAGTGTCGTCGTCAGTGCGGTCGTCGGCGACGGCTCCATTGTCGTCGTCGGCGTCGGCGTCGTCGTTGTTGTCAGTGTCGTTGTCGTCGTCGTCATTGTCACTGTCGTCGTCGTCTTCGTTGGCGTCGTCGTCGTCAGTGTCGTCCTCGTCGTCGTCGTCGTCGGCGTCGCCTTTGTCGGCGTCGGCGTCCTCGTCGTCGTCGTCGTCGCTGCAAGTGTTGTCGTCGTCGTCGTCATCGTTGTCAGTGTCGTCGTTATCGTCGTCTGCGTCATCGTCGTCGTCGTCAGCGTCGCCGTCGTTGTCGTTGTTGTCGCCGTCGTCGGTGTAAGTCTTGTCGTCGACGTTGTCAGTGACGTGGTCGTCGTCGTCGTGAGTGTCGGCGTCGTCGTCGTCAATGTCGTCGTCGCTGTCAGTGTCGTCGTTTTTGTTGGCGTCGGCGACGTCGTTATCAGTGTCGTCGGCGTCGGCGTCGGTGCTGTCGCTGTTTTCAACGTCGCCGTCGTCGACGCTGCAAGTGTCATCGTCGTCGTCGTCGCCGTCGTTGTCAAGATCGTCGTCGTCGTCGTCGTTGTGGTCGTCAGTGTCGTCGTCGTCGTGTCGTCAGTGTAGTCGGTAGTGTCATCGTCGTCGGCGTCGTCGGTTTCAGTGTCGTCGTGGTCGCTGTTAATGTCGTCGATGTCAGTGTTGTTGCCGTCGTGTCGTCGTCGTCGTCAGTGTCGTCGTCGTTGTCGTCGTCGTCGTCGTCAGTGTCGTCGTTGTCGGCGTCGTCGTCGGCTTCGGCGCTGTCGTCGTTGACAATGTCGCCGTCGTCGACGCTGCAAGTGTCGTCGTCGTCGTGGTCGCCGTCGTTGTCAAGGTCGTCGTCGTCGTCAGTAACAACGTCGTCGTCGTGGTCGTCAGTGTCGTCGGCAGTGTCGTCGTCGTCGTCATCGTCGGTTTCAGTATCGTCCTGGTCGCTGTTAATGTCGTCGTCGATGTTGGTGTTGTTGTCGTCGTCGTCGTCAGTGTCGTCGTCGTCGTCGGCGTCGTCAGTGTCGTCGTCGTCAGTGTCGTCGTCGTCGTCGACGTCAGTGTCGTCGTTGTCGGCGTGGCGACGCCGTCGTCGTCGTCGTTGTCAGTGTCGTCGTCGTCGTCGCTGTGGGTGTCGTCGTCGTTGCTACTGTCGTCGTCGTCAGTATCGTCGTCGCCGGCGTCATTAGCGTCGTCGTCGTCGCTGTAAGAGTCGTCGTCGTTGTCGTTGTCAGTGTCGTCGTCGTCGTTGATGTCCGGGTCGTCGTTAGTGTCGTCGTCGGCGTCGTGGTCGTCGTCGGCGTCGTCGTCGTTGTCAGTGTCGTCGTCATTGTCGGCGTTGTCGTCGCCAATGTCGTCGTCGTAGTCGTCGGCGTCGTCGTCGGCGCTGTCACTGTCGTCGTCGTTGTTGTTGTCGGTGTCGGCATCGCCGTCGTAGCTGTAAGTGTGGACTTCGTCGTCGTCGTCTTATTTCGTGTCGTCCTCGTAACCGTCGTCGTTGTCAGTGTCGGCGTCGTCGTCGGTGCCGTCGTCGTCGGCGTCGTTGTCAGTGTCGTCGATGGTGTCGTCGCTGTCAGTGTCGTCGTCGTCGTTGCCAGTACCGTCGTCGTCGGCGTAGTCGTCGTCGTCGTTGTCAGTGTCGTCCTCGTCGTCGGCGTCGGCGTCGTCGTCGTCAGTGTCGTCGCTGTCGGCGTCGGCATCGTCGTCGTCGTCTGCGCTGTCGTCGCTGTAAGCGTCGTTGTGTTCGGTGTAAGTGCCGCCGTCATCGCCGTCGTAGTCAGTGTCGTCGTTATCGTCGTCGCTGTACGTGGTGTCGTCGTCGCTGTAGGTGTCGTCGTCGTCAGTGTTGTCGTCGGCGTTGGCGTCGTCGTCGTCACGGAAGTGTCGTCGTCGTCGTCGGCATCGTCGTCGTCGTCGTCGTTGTCAGTGTCGTCGTTGTCGTCGTCGGCGTCGTCGTTGTCAGTGTCGTCGTCGTTGCAGTCGCCGTTGTCTTTGTCATCGTCGTGGTCGTGTCGTCGTCAGTGTCGTCGTCGTCGTCGCTGTATTTGTCGTCGCCGTCGTCGCTGTACTTGTCGTCGTAGTCGGCGTCGTCATCGTCATCGTCGTCATTGTCGTCGCTGTAATTGTCGTCGCCGTCGCTGTAAATGTCGTCGTCGTCATCGGCGTCGTCATCGTCATCGTCGTCAGTGTCGCTGTTGCCGTCGCTGTACGGATCATCGGCGTCGTCTTCGTCGGCGTCGTTGTCAGTGGCGTCGTCGTCGGCGCCGTCGTCATCATTGTCAGTGTTGTCGGCGCCGTCGGTGTCGGCGTCGTCGTCGTTGTCAGTGTTGTCGTCGTCTTTGCTGTAAGTGTCGTCATCGTCGTCGTTGTCAGTGTCGCCGTCGTTGTCGCTGGAAGTGCCGTCGCCATCGTCGTCGTCATCAGTGTCATCGTTTTTTGGCGTCAGCGTCGTCGTCGTTGGCAGCGTCGTCGTTGTCAGTGTCGCCGTAGTCGTCGTCGTCGCTTTAAGTGTCGTTGACGTCGTCGCCGTCGCCGTTGTCGATGTCATCGTCGTCGTCAATGTTGTCGTTGTCGTCGTCGTCGAGGTTGTCATTGTCGTCGTCATCGTTGTTGTCAGTGTCGTCGTCGTCGGCGTCGGGGTCGGCGTCATTGTTGTGCGTATTGTCGTCGTCGTATTTGTCGATTTCGTCGTCGTTGTCATCACCGTCGTCAGTGTCGTCGTCGTCGACAGTGTAGTCGTTATCGGCTTCGCCGCCGTCGTCGTCGTCGGCGCCGTCGTCGTTGTCAGTGTCGTCGTCGTCGTCGTCGATGGAAGTGTCGTTGTTGTGATAGATGTCAGTGTCGTCGTCTTCGTCGTCGTCGTCGTTTTCGTTGTTAGTGTCGTCGTCGTCGGCGTCGTTGCTGTTGTCAGTATCATCTCCGTCGTCGTCGCTGTAAGTGTCATCGTTATCGTCGGTGTCGTCGTCGTCGGCGTTGGCATCGTCGTCGTCGTCGTCCTTAGTGTCGTTGGCGGCGTCATCGTCGTTGTCAGTAAGTCGTCGTCGTCTTTGTCGTTGTTATAAGTCGTCGTCGCTGTTAACGTCGTCGGTGTCGTCGTCGTCGTCGCCATCGTGAACGTCGACGTCGTCGCCATCGGTTTTGTCGTCGTTGTCGGTGTCGTCTGTGTCATCGTTGTTGTCAGTGTCGTCGTCTTCGTCGTCGCTGCAAGTGTCGTCGTCGTCGTTGTTGTCAGTGTCGTCGTCGGTTTCGTTAGTGTCGTCGTCGGCGTCGGCGTCGCTGTTGTCGTCGTCATTGTCAATCGTCGCCGTCGGGGTCGTCGTCGTGGTTTCGCCAGTGTCGTCCCCGTCTTCATCGCTGTAAGTGTCGTCGTCGTCAGTGTCGTCGTCGTCGCCGTCGGCATCGTCGTTGTTGTTAGTGTCGTCGTCGCTGGCGACGTCGTTGTACGTGATGTCGTCGTCGTCGTCGTCGTCGTCGTCGCTGTACGTGTCGTCATCGTTAGTGTCGTGGTCGTCGTCGTCAGTGTCGTCGTTATCGGCGTCGTCGTCGTCGTCGGCGCCGTCGTCGTTGTCAGTGTCGTCGTCGTCGTCGCTAGCGTTGTCGTCGTCGTTGTCGTCATCAACGTCTGGGTCGTTGGCGTCGTCGTCGTCTTCGTCGTCCTCGTCGTTGTCGTTGCCGTCGATGTCAGTGTCGTTGTCGTCATCGTTGCTGGCATCGTCGTCAGAGTCGTCGTCGTCGTCGTTGTCAGTGTCGTCGTCGCCGTCAGTGTCGTTGTCGTCGTCGCCGTCGTCATCGCTGTAAGTATCGTTTGCGTCGTCGTTGTCGTCACTGCTGCCGTTGTGATCGCAGTCGTCGTCGTCGTCGGCGTCGCCCTTTGCAGTGTCGTCGTGGTCAGTGTCGTCGTCGTCGGCGGCGGCGTCGTCCTTGTCGGTTTCGTCGTCGTTGTCAGTGTCGTCGTCACCGTCGTCGTCGTTGTCAGTGTCTTCGTCGTCGTCGTCAGTGTCGTCGTCGTCGTTGTCGGCGTCGGCGTCGCCGTCGTAGCTGTTAGTGTCGTCGTCGTCAGTGTAGTCGTCGTCGGCATCGGCGTCGGCGTCGTTGTTGTCGGTGTCGTCGTCGTCGTCGTCGTCAATGTCGTCGTCGTCGTGGTCGCCGTCACCGTCGTCAGTGTCGTGGTCGTCGTCGTCGTCGTTGCGAGTGTCGTCGTCGTTGTTGGCGGCGGCGTCGTCGACGTCGGTGCCTTCGTCGTTGTCAGTGTCAACGTCGTCGTCGTCGCCGTAATTGTCGTCGTCGAAGTCGTCGTAGTTGTCGTCGTCTTTGACAATGCGTTGTCGTCAGTGTCGTCGTCGGCGTCGTCGTCGCAGTCGCCGTCGTAGTCGTCGTTGGTGTCGGCGGCGTCGGCGTCGTCGTTGGTGTCGTCGTTGTCAGTGTCGTCGTCGTCGGCGTCAGCGTCGTCGTTGTCGTGGTCGTCGTCGTCGACGTCGTCACCATCGTAACCGTCGACGGTTTTGTCGTCGACGCTGTCGTCAGTGTCGTGGTCGTTTTCGTTGTCGTCGTCGTCGTCGAGGTCAGCGTCGTCATCATCGTCGCGGTCGACGTTGTCAGTGTTTTGGTGTCGTCGTCCTCGTCATTTGCCGCCGTCGTCGTCGTCAATGTCGTCGTCGACGGCGTTGTCAGTGTCGTTGTCGTCGTCGTCGTCAGCGTCGGCGTCGTCGTTGCCGTCGTCGTCGTCAGTGTCGTCGTCGCTGTTCGTGTCGTGGTCGTCGTCGTCGTCGTTGTGAG